TTTTCCGGGATTTTTGCGACCCCCTTGTAGCTCTCGAAGGGGGTCCAGTGTCGCGACCCCCTGTTTTGATTAATAAGAGTGCCTAGACATGAATCCGTGCGTCAGGAAAGCGTTCTGCGGCCCGGCCGCCACAGAAAGCGCCTGCGTTGCGGCGTGCAGCCTTTGGAAGCGTGGCAGTATCACCCGGTCGCTTGGAAGGAACGGGGACGTCGGCCGAAGAAAAAGATGTTAGAGCGACAGTTAACTTTTCTTTGAAGAGTATTTATTTCACTTATTGAGGTAGTTTAGACTGTGCCTGAGGGGGCGGTTCAAGAAAATTACAAGGCATTACGTAAGCTCTCTCGAAAGAGTACTTTCTCGGGTAAGTGGAAACCCAAGATCTCTGCAGAAGGCGCACTCCAACTCTTGAAAGGCCGATAAAAATCTTTTTCGTATTGCGACATTTGTGAAATCGTAAATGGAGGTTTCCAGAAACATCAAGTAGGTCTGTAAACAAAACAGGTATAAAAAGTTTAGTGAGTGTCCTCTTTTTCAAAAGACAATTGGTCCCGGTCTTGACCATTTTTCGGTGCAAAGCGAGTTTTTGGCGCTTTTAGCGGGCGTGGAACTTCACTTCATTTGCACTTGTCTGAAAGGGATTTTTCACGAGGTTCAAAGTACAGTGGGTTATGGCTCTGGTCTATAATTGCGACCAAACGGTTCTTTTAAGAGTTTCAGGTTTTATTCTGAGAAAATCATACGGTTCAACATTTTTGCTCCCGTAGGTTCTCTTAAGTCAGCCACATTGCGATTTTTTGAGGTTCAGCAATATATAACTTCCTTCAAAGAACTTGTTGAGGAGAGCGAAGGACGTCTGTGAGACTACTAGATTTATGCTTTCTTACTGTTTGTTACGTTGCGAGTGATCGTCCTCAGACAAGTAGGTCCTCGAAAACTTTAATTCGTCAGCCCCGAGGAACGTCGAACCTTTCAATGAGGTGGATGCATTCAACTGGTTGTTTATTTCCTCAAGCGAACCACGCCGTAATTTGCTTAAAATGTCTCTATGCGCATAATTAATCGAATCTAATGCGGTCTGCACAAAAAATTCTTGCCCTCGGATACGCCATGCACGCGCCTGTGGTTGGCAGTCCTCGAAATTGCGACCCCCTTCCGACCAAAATGCGACCCCTTCGTTCGAACAGTTCGAACGGACGGTTGATCCTGGTCCCAGCATCAGTGAGGGTTGGTTCCAAGTAGGTGATGTAGGAGGTAGGACGGGAACATCTTTAGTGAGGGTCAGAGAGTGATAATGGCTGATAAGATTCGGCAACAGACGCCAAACGCCAATTCCACGAAATCCATTACGCGCGTTCCAGCATCAGTGAGGCGTTGGTTCTAAGAAGTGATGTAGAGGGTAGGACGGAATCATGTCTGGTTATATAATATTTCGCAGCTTTCCTTTTTCTGAATTCAGTCTGCTCAGTTTCACGCAACCTTTACTTGGAGTTGATCATAATGCATGTGTGGTTTTCTCTAAAATATTATGAATGGGAGTTGATATTATTTTAGGTAAATTTTTAGCTGTCAACAAATCAGAACATTGCTCATCCGTTGACCTGGTTCAATCGTTGATTGGTTTAATCTACTGTCGCCAGATAACAAGAGGTCCCCAGATTACAGATACCGTTTTCTTTTTATCGTTGAATATTATCAGACCGGCTTGTACATATGACTCAAGTTGCACCATGGACACCTCTATTTATACGAATCACTGGTGCGTTTGGATGGATTTGAAGACAATCCAAATAGTGGCGAGCTTCATCTGAGATGTATACATAAGTCTCAAGGAAACCAGAATTGCTCAGTCGGATGGAACACTGTAGATGGAGTTACGCGGGATTTAAACCTTTACGACTTTGGAATTTATAAAGGAAACGCAGTTTACGGAATACCATCACATAAGAATAGAGGAAGTAAATGAAAGCCATCCTACTTACTATAAAGCGCTTCGTCTGTCGTCTGTCGTTCTGTCTGTATGTCTTTCACGAAATTCTCTAGCTCCTCGGGATCCGCCTGGAGGGACCAGGTCAAGTGTGGGACGGGTGCAAGGTCTCATGAAGTACAAAGCACACATCAGCTAAGCGGAGCCCCGCCCACAGTGGGCGTGGCGTGCGTCGACACGAAGTGTATTGACGACCGAGATTTTCAATTATCTTAGAAAATGACCTCTAAACTGGGCCAAAAAAGGGTAAAGGTGTGCCTTGGTAAGTCACATCGGATTAGGGAGACCCACCCCGGTGGCGGGGCGTTCTCCAAAAAAGCAGTGCTTTATGAAAAATTTCAAAACTCGGTTGGGAGAAAGCCTACAGAGCAGAAAACAAATTGGTGTAGAGGAGCAATGCCTAAGGTGTTTCCAGCATACATGATGTGAGCGGAGGCCCGCCCGCAATGGGCGGGGCGCGCTTTGAAGTGTACAGCATTTTCTACAGCTCCTCACAATTCGGGTCGGAGAAGACTTAGTGAACCGGGAAAAGGTGGATAGAGGTAGGTGGAGGAGTGGAGGCCAACCGTCTTTGGGGGGCGGGGCACGACCAAGGGCGGAGTTTGCGACGGAAATTCATAACTCGGTTTCAAGAAGTCCTGGAGACGGAAAAAAGGTGGATAGAGGTGAGTGGGAGAGTGGAGGTCAACCGCCATCGGTGGGCGGGGCCTGACCAAAGTGGGCGGAGCTTGCCAAAGGGGTCGCAATTTGATTCCAAGAACCTAATCCTAGAGATAGGGGAAAACAGGGTTAGAGTTGACGAAAGGAAGGGGGCCAAATGCTGTTGGTGGGCGGGGCACACACCGAAGTAGGCGGAGTTTGTCACGAGATTTATTGTCCGGAAGCAGTCCGAAGACCGTGAAAAGAGGATAGTGATTGACGATGAAAAAGTGGTTGGAAACCGATGATGGAGCAGATTAAATTTAGCTGAGAAGTCAGATATTCGTGGTGTATCAGGCCAAATTTGTAAATTTTCGCCGCACCATCAAAATTCGCCGCAGGTCTGTGTTGTGCGCGCAATGCGTGCGGCGCCAACTGGTAATCAATATGTAGATTTCAAGTCAATTTAGGGCTAGACACATTGGCAAGAGTTTTTGAATGCTACAGTCGTCTCAAGGAGATGCGGCAGTCAATGCAACCCTGCCCTCCCAGCTGAGATCTCACGGCTCAATTCAATTCCAAGCCCTATGTTCCACTTTAGCTGAATACACCTGAATTTTTTCAGGAATATCTAGTTCCACTCAGTTTTCTCAATTTCATGTAAAAAAGTAAAAAATAAAATTTCGAAGAAAATTTTGAGTTAAGTGTGAAACTTAAAACAGTGTTCTTTTTTCCTGTGAGAACTCTATACCCTAACTGATTTCTGCACACATCCTCCCGCAAGCACATTGTCGACAAGCAAGCAAGCACAAGCAACGACCACTAAACACGACCCTCCTTTTCGGAGCTAAATGATGCAAAGCTCATTCAGCAGTAAACCCTCCGTGAAACCGTTTTCGCTTGCCTTCTTTATATGAGGTAGGATCAGTGAAATAAGCCCCGCAAGGCGACAAACGGTCTTCATACCAGGGTCAACCGTCACGTTCGAGCATTTTCGAGATTTTCGCGACCCCCTAGCTCTCGAAGGGGTCCAGTTGCGACCTCCTGTTCTTGTTAATAAGAGTGCTAGACATGAATCCGTTGCGCCAGAAAGCATCTGCGCGTCGTCGCGTCGGCCTTGGAGCGCGGCAGGTGTCACCCGGGCGCTGGAAGAACGGAACGCGGCGAAGAAAAAATATCAGATAGGAATAATTTTCTTGGGACGTACTTTTTTGACTTGTTGAGGTAGATTTTGACTGTGCCTGAGGTGCGCTTCCAGAAAACTACATTGGATTGCCTAACTCTCCGGAAAGTACTTTTGTTAGAAGTGGAAAACCCAAAATTCTAAGAAGGTGCACCCTCAACTTTGAAGGCCCATAATATCTTTCGTATGCGACCTTTTGGAAAGCTGTCAAAAGTTTCAGAAATAAAATATTTCTATAACAAAATAGTATAAAAAGTTTAATGATTGTCCCCTTTCCCAAAAAATTTTCCCGTTCGAACATTTTTCAGGCAAAAGCGAGTTTCTGGGCTTTCAGCGGCCATAACTCACTTCATTTTGAATTCTGTGATTCACTTCTTCCATAGGAACAAAGTACAGGATTTTTTCTTTCTAACAAGCTCCGAGTCGTTGCTGAAAGTTCATTTTTCGAGAAAATCACACTTCGAACGTTTTGTTCCCATAGGTTTTTGAGCAGCACATGCGTGTTTTTGAGCTTTCAGCAATAATAACTTCCTTCAAAAACTTGTTGGGGAGGAGCGAAGACATTTTTGAAGACTACGAGGTTTCGGCTTCCTTATGTGTTTTACCGTTGTCTGGAAGAATCGTCCTCAGAAAATCAGGCCCGAAGAACTTTAATTTCAGCCCCGACAAATCAAACCTTTCATAGGGATGCATTCAACTGTTCTCTATTTCTCAAGGAGAACACCGTAATTCGCCTGAAACTGTCTCTCTGTACATAATCAATCAAATCTAATGCAGTCTGCACAAACAATTCTTGCCCTCGGATACGCCACGCACGCGCCTGTGGCTGGCAGTCCTCGAAATTGCGACCCTCTTCCGACTAAAATGCGACCCCTTCGTTCGAACAGTTCGAACGGACGGTTGACCCTGCTTCATACTTCATTTCCTAGTTTTGGTCGAGTTATTCCTTTAGCTCTAGGTCCACCCGCTCAGCAGTCATTTTTTCACCTTCATCTATCATAAATCTATATGTATTCACAATTTTGTCTATTTTTACCATCAAGTTCACCCGAATCTAAACGACGATTTTCATTCCGTGCATTTTGTGACGTGATCTGTCATTGATTTTGACATTCCTATGCGTCGTGGGTCTTGCTGTGATTCAGAAGTGCCAATTACGATTTTCGCCTATTGTCGTTGGCGTCTTCACAGTGAATGCTGCGCCATCTCATTTTTAGGCTGTCCAGATCTTGTCTGTGTTGGTGCCCGTGTTGGTACACGGAAATCGACGAAGCGCCACCTGACCCGTCGGGAACCAGTGCTACGACTCGCGACGAGCTCAGTAAACGCCGTCCGTCCGCAAAGAATCCACCGGTTGCGGTGGCGACGACGTGCGCGGTGCTGCCTGCTGTCCCGCCAGATCCGGAAATGACCACCACAACGATGCTCACTTCATTGGACGTCATCACGCCACCTAACGGTAAGTTATTAGAATTCCTTTCCTTTGAGGTTTCATTTTGTCTTTATAAAACTGCGCACCTTCTGCTCTTTCCCTGAGACACGCTTGTTGTCACGTCAATATCTTCTCATCGGAATTCGTTTTGAAAGCCGCAGAGTGAGACTCGTTGAGCGTTGCTTTCTAGAGCTTTTTGGAGCCACAATTTCCGAATAAACATAAGTTTCTGTTCCCAAATTCCGCATCATTAATTTCCTATTCGCCGCTTAGAATCCCTTTCCGCTGATGCAAAATCTGCTCACACCTATATTTCTGTACCATTTATCTGCTTCTCAATGATCAATTTCGAACATTGGAACAAGGATAGTGATTTGGCCCTAGAATCTAGGCCTTCATTTAAGTGGTTTGCTGGCCCGGTAGACCGTCTCCTACAGTGTTTTTCATAAAATTGTTAATTATTCGTGTTTAACGAATTGTTATTTTATCAGAAAAAAAGGATTAGCGACACGCTTCACTCGTCGCGAGTCCTTAAAATAGTTAAAGCAACACCATCAGCGGAAGGCGTATTGAGGTAAATCTTTTGTGATAGCCCACGAGTGTCGCAAAGGTGTCGTTGTTGTGGCTCGAAACTGCGCGACAACGGCTCTAGGTCTTACAAAGAGAGCCTGGTGACTAATCTTGACATTTGGATGAGTTGTGTCGAGCACATCCCATAATATGTAACATGAATTATGGTTTTGGGGCTAATCCAGTAGGCGTAGGTTAGTCTAGCCTTGGAGCGGGCAAGTTAATACAACCCATCTGACCCCGTCCCTTCCTTACTTCAAGGGGAAACCTTTAGGGCCTCATCAACGGTTTTAAGTGCTCCTTTTTTATTTTGAGACAACTTGCCAATCTTAATTACCTCTCTAGGCTGGCCTTCATATTCACCGTCTCGTTCTTTGAACGATTACTTTTCCACGCTTGTTGTACCTGGCAACGATTATGGTTCCTAGTCGCTCACTACCAAACACTGCCGCTTAAGCCTAGTAACAGTGAGTACGATAATTTGGCTCTGATAACGGGTTAGCGGAAAAGGAAACATGCCATGCACATAAGCGAACGATGATGAGTAGCATGATTTGCGACCAAGATCGCTTAAGCTGCTTTACAAGGTTCTCAACTCCGAAAATAAACCAAAACAAATGTTGATAAATTGAAGGGCTGCCACCTGGCGCGTTCCCACCCACATCACAGGTAACCGTTGTGCGCTACAGGTGCATCCCCTGAGACAGCTTCGATGTCGTTCGCTCGATTCCAATGTAGATCTGTACATACTTAGATAAAGATCAATGCGAATACGAATACGAATACGAACATGGAGCGATTTGTGATTGTCAACCTACTGAAGGCATCTCCTTGCTTCAGCTTCAACGCCCACTGCCGCCCTTCAACAACACTCAAATCGCTCTCCTACTGATACAACCTCCCAGAGACTCCCAAATGCTAAGAAATAAAGAGGTGAAGGTAAACGCATTAAACCAAGAAGTGTGCATGTTAAACGCGTACCCCAGGATCACATTGGTGTGGCTCCTGTACATGAATGCGAATGTAGTTCTGGAAAGTGGGTCGGCAGTAAAGAAAAAAGGAAAAGAATCCATCAAAAACGCTTAGGTTAAGGGCTCACTCACATTCTTAATCGGCTGTGCTAAGGGAACGAGAGACTAGGCACGGAGAGGAGAGTATGGGACGAGAGAGCGCTACAGATGAGAGATCGATAGACAACAGCCTGATAAGACAAAAAAGTCTGCAGCTTGGGCAGCTTACTTTGCAAGGCCCAAGCGTTCTTCTCAGTCGGTTTCCGTGCACGAGAACGCCACATTTGTAATTGCCCTTTGGAGGTCTATACTACAGGCCGAAGAGAAGCGTCCACACGATCACTGCCTGGATTGTGCCTTTGAGGAAAAGTCTCATATCTCTTCGAACAAGCAGTTGAGCCAAGACATGCCCTGTCACACCGAAACCCACTGGTTTTCTTCCCAAACAGATGACAGGATTGTTTTGTTTGCTTTGCATAATGACGTCAAACATCACGCCTATTAGTTCCTGTTGTCAGAATTCCGTCGCAGTGGAAGTTCCATTTTATGTCTGTTTTCTTGTTGCATGTACTAATGAAGTCCTGGAGCTGATCCTTTGCACTTTCTCAAAACGTTTCCATTCACAAAATCGGGCACTGATGTACAACACACGACTAACTTATTGAATATTCACCGTAACATAGCGCGAATTCGTAGTTTTTTGCGTTTCGTCTTGTTTCGTTTCAGAGTGTCCAAGAATCCAAAAGCATGTCGAAGTGAGTTTGTCAAGCTCTATAAGACGGCGCTTGAGGTTTCGAAGACGCTTCATTGCGGAACCCGCCATGCCACTCGAGCAAGAACTAAGTAAATGGATACGTAAAAGTAAATGGAAAAGTGCCGCCACAATACCACTTTGTAAGCCTGTAACCATTCAGCAGAGAGAAAGTGTTCAGTATTCGCCCTAGACTGGATTACGTACTCGACCCCATCTAGTGTGCTGCGACACTGATTGTTTTTCTCTTTCATCCTCATCTTCATCATTTTTTCGTTTCATCATTTCCCTTACATTGTGAAGCGTAGTATGACCAAGGGTATGTTCTAGAGATACGACCAGGTTTTGTCTCTTTCATTGGAGGACCATGCTTGAGATGTACACTGTTTGATTGTATTGAACACTATCCAGTGATATGCAAAGTTTATTCCCTTGTTTTAGGACTTCTCCTTACCGTCATTCTACCCAGTCCTTGACGCCCTCATGCGGTCCACGCGCGCAGCATATGAGACCATTTCCACGCTCAATGAATGGTTAATGATAGGTCTGCTCGCCAACTTAGCAGAAGCTGTCAGCACCCTGCATTAGCGTGCGAACGGTTCCACGTGTTGCGCACCTACGAGAGATCAAGGGCTAGCAGAGCCACTTACTGTGTACTTTTGGAGTTTTTACGACATTCCCCTGTTCAGGGGTCCTGATACCACCCCCTCCTCCACATTCTACTAACCCCACAGGGCTTTTTAGTTCGTCTACCCTGCTAAAAGGTAAGAGAGGTCAGTCACGTCCCTTCGGCCGATGTCAGACTTTGCGAATGGCGCGATTCGCTAGCGTCTGCGGTCGCGTCGCGGCCAGTAAATCACTCAATTGGCTGGTACCGCAACGCGACCGCGGGCGCTTGCGATTCGCGCGATTCGCAAAGTCTGACATCGGCCTTCACTTAGCTGGATGATTTCATCTCGTTTCGGGTACCCACCTAGGAAATTGACACTAAAAGCTTTTACATTTGGGATCTTTTTATAAACAAAATTGACCATATTACGCTACTCTGCTGGCTTTAGAAATGTTCAAATTTACACTTTATGAAACATGACGTAAAAGATAGAGCAGAGAAAATAAGCTACATGTAATGTAATCCAATATGTTTACCAAAAACCCTCTCCAAGAATCCATTATGTTCCTCAACAGTTTATTTACTATAATATTATTCCATATATGTATTATTATACTATTAGTTTTATTATATTTTATTATTATTATTTTATGATATTTATTTTATAATATTATTTATATTATACTTTTAATTAATTCATATTATATTATATATTATATTTAATATTTCACCAGATGCTGGGTTTGTGAACAAACACCTTTCGCAGCCGAGGCGGGACTAAGAACCCCGCACCCTCTAGCTTCCGGGCAAGTGCGCTATCCAAGTACGCTACCGAGGCACCATCTTCCAACTCCCAACTCAGACTTTTCATGGATCACGTACGCGATTAGCTTTTCACAGCACTCACCACGTTCTAACGGTTGAGCCGGTTAGCCGTATCGGCAATGACCGCGAGCTGAAGCTTTAAGCAATTAATTTCGAACTTGTTTTGTTTGTTAACCTGCTGTTTTAAAACGCCGCAGCTTTCGCGTTTGGCGAATGTTTCATGCAAGTTAGATTATTTATAATTGATATTTTACTATATATATTTATAATTTAGGTTTATTATACTGATAAAATTAACAAGTTGGTATTGTACAAGCTATAAAAAGTTGTTTAATCCTTCCTCAAAACTGTTCATAAAGAAAGCCCTGCTCCCACCTACTACGACAACAGTCGTTCAAGAAGTACAAAAGTAGAAAAGTCAAAGAAAGATCATTATCAATGAATCCTACCAACAAATGGAGCAAAAACGACACTTTCAAAGAAATAATTATGAAAAAAAAACAGACTATGGGCGCACCTCTACTTAAAATACTTCCTCAGGAAGGCTCACAAAATTTTAGTACTACACCGAGTATGCACTCAATCTACACGTCCACCTTTCGGTTGAAGGGAGCATTGTAACCGCGCTAATTAGCTGGGTGTTGATTATCTACTATTGAGCTTATCTAACTGTTGAAATTTGACCACATATTAAAATGACTATAACTTTTTTCAAAGTGGACAAATTTTCAATCTGGAAACACACTTGGAAGTTTTGTGAAGAGCGTTTTCTGATCATTATTGGAACCGCGGGAATTAATATGAAATAACGAATTCAGATTGATTAACGAGGAAAATTCATGATGAGTGAGAGTTTTTACACTTCTCAGAACCATAACTTCGTTCAAACTCGTCCAATCTGGAAAGTTACTTTGGCGTCATAAACTAGAGGTTTGCTCTATCTAACAGTTGTTGAAAATTCTCAACTTGTTCAGTATTCCAAAATTGCCACGTTGAGGATTTCTGCCCAAGTACCACCGAAAGGCACTTTTTCGCTGCATTGACTTTATTCCAACGACTATAGCTTCTTTTAGGGGCGATTATGTACAATAGTGCAAAAAGCGTGAGAATCCCCGTGCTTTTCTCTTTACAACTATGGTAAAACTGTTTGACGAATCTCAACTTCGACACTTATTTGTTCATGAATTTGACGCTGAAAGCTGCATTTCTTGTTGGATGGTGGACTCCTCTCTGTAATTTCACACGGACCCTTTCAGAATTCTCCCGTTTTTTCATTAATTGAAATCCTTTAAGAACCGTAGTGCAAGTGCGCGCAACTAACAGGGCCCACTCCAGGTCGCGGCATGTGCTTCACATCCCTTCAGATTCGAGGACTCACTTGAAGGATAAAATATCCGTCGAAAAACGTGTCGTCGAAAATTTCGGATTCTTCAACCTCATGTTATATTAAATTACTGAGGTAGCTAGAACTGCTATAAGGAACCCTTTGAACCACGAAAATTTTATATGAGTGGAATATTATTGTTATAGGAAATTCTCTGGCCAAGCTTGCACAGCATCGATCCTTCTTTGATGTTTGATGTTTGTCCTCCGACAATGATAACCCTACTGCATCGATTCAGCCCAAGCCCTTTCTTCCAATGGGCCAATACGACCCCCCTGTCGACCTGTCGAGAATTCCTCAATCACGGTTGATCCTGCCCTGTACTTATGTTCACTCCAGAAACAACGGAATCCTCTTTAAAACAATTTTTGTTGCTGATAACTCGAATTCGGAGCGCTTCGCACTAACAATCCCTGTCATGGTGAGCGCCATGCTTATAAGTTACTGATAGGGTCAGAGTAAAACCAGCTCCCCATGCGTATGCAATCTTTTGTAATAATAGAAGTGTATGCTCGGATGAGCAAGCACTTCATGAACAAGAAAAATTAAAATATGAGAGTAGCCCAAATGACCACTAATTGTGTATTATATATTTATATAAAAGATCTTGTATTTTGCTTTCTGCCAGTGGCTTCATGTATTCTCATGAAGCTGTCTGAGAAACCCTTCTACTCCTTAGTCTATTACAGCACTTAGTAAATTCAGCTGCAGAAGGGAAACTATACGACCGCGATACTCGATATCGACTAATGATCGATTTTCGCGTCAGTTGCTTTCTTGCTGTCCATTTGATCAGCCATGATGCCTTACGGAAACACTTCAGCCCTTGTAGGAAATGTTCCCCAAAATCTTCCGAGCGTAGGCGTCCGATGTTCGCACGATCACTCACGGGAGTATCGCTCCCCCTTTCAAAATGCTTGATCCTGTTTTTTCTCTCGTAGATCTGTAGGTTTCTCCCTCAAAGGCGCATCCTGCCTCCTGTATGTGACTTTCTTGAGAATGAGTGCTTGAATCGGAATCGTCCTCAGTATCGACATCTCCTTCTCACACAGGGCATCACATTACTGACGTTCCAATGCAAGCAGCTTTCGATGCTGTTCTGCATTTCTCTAATTCGTATCTTTTAAAAAAAACTATATGCATATGATACATTTTGTTTCTGCTTAGTGATTCAACTACAGTAACCGAACTTCATTGTTTTGACACTCAAATCTTGAACCATCCATCTGCGTTGCTCGTCGGCGAAGACCGACGCCACTGGATCGTCGGAATCGGACGTTACCCTATCGCTAGCGCCCTCACCGCTGCTGCCACCGCTCGAGCGAACGAGGACATCGGAACCAGTTGCATGACTCAGCGCGCTCTGTCTATACGGGCCGCTTTGCCGCAGTAGCGCTGTGATACGTGGAAACGCTATCGAGGCCATCTTCCATCCATCTACTCTTTCATGAGGCCACCTACACTCATTACTTCTCTATTATCTTCGCTTCTCCGGATCCTTCCGAAATTCTTCCAGCTCATCTCTGCACCACCGCTGCCGCGAAGATGTAGACGCTGCTTCAAGGAAAAGTTAAGACTATCCAGCTAATGGATGGCATGTTACATTTGTCTCCGTGTTTTATTTTATTCTGACACTTGTGGTAGTAATCGATAACTCATAAGTCATAGAAATCGTCTAGGTGCACCGATGCATTAGATCGTTAAACTGACAAGTATCGATTTTTGCCAAGCCAAAATCATGTTGTCTGTGAAGCCGCAATTTGGTGCAGCAAATATGTGACGAGAAATCATAAATGTGTCTTAGACGTAATCTTGTGCGAGTGAATAATTGCTCATCTCGCAACCAAACATATACTTGGAAGCAGGGTCACACCCTCACGTCTTTTAACGAAAGTAACAACGGGGGTCGTACCTGGTTGAGTTTGCCTAGGAGGGGGGTCGTAGCCCCACTTTAGTCGCTCGAAATCCGTGTGGGAGTCGAGGAAAACCGAATTCCGTGGGTACTAAGGTGTGCGAGAGAGGCGCGCCAAGATAAAATTTCCGTTCACCGGCGTATATACCCCCCTAGAAAAGGAAACACGTGAGAATTAAGGGAATAAATTGCGCAAACTTGGCTGGAAAACTTCAGTGAATTGGGAAATTATGGGAAAATTTTTTCTGTTTCAGAGGAACTAATACCCCCCCCCCGCTCGAGGCATTTGGAGAAAAAAGTGGCGGACTTTTGCAGCGGTTGAGAAAGGTATGAAGTTAGTGCATATAGAGAGAAATATGGTTGATCGAGGTGCGAAAGGGGTCGTACCAAATCACCTTGGAAGGGGGCGTAAAAATTTTTCGAATAGTAACAAACGATAGGTTGACGACTGCTTGTAATCTTCAAATCAATATACAGTAGCGTCAAAAGTTTGGAAACTTTTTTATTTTTGCTCCCGATTCACAATATTATAATTCGAATCTAGTGTAAGATTAAAATAAGTAACGTGATTTTTTGAAAACTGAAATCGCATTTGAAAAATACGAAGTTTTTATAGGAAATGCGCCGTCAAAAGTTGGAGAACGCCGAATTCTAAAGCGAATTCGCAGAAAATAGCTCTCAAATCCACATGATAAATTAGTTATTTGATGCGATGCTTCGAATTTCTATCTTAGCGTCGTTTTTATTGACATTGTATTGATTATAAAATAATTTTAGGATTTTTAAGTCGGACCTTATACACTGTGAACTAAAGCACAGTGTTTCGTGGGATTCTAACTGGAACGTGGGTAGAGCGACATAACACTTTTTTCGTGAGATGTAGAACTCAATCGGACTTCAGATCTTGACTTGATCGCTTCATAGCTGCTTCTTTTTCTGGGTTGAGGAAGGCGGCAGTGGGGAGGTAGGCCTGCATCGGGTTATTTCCGTAATAGAGAACCCATCTTTTCCAGCTAGTTCTGACTATATAAGGTAAGCATTGTATTCTACAGAATATACTTGTACTTAGCCCAACCCATATTTCGCTGGATACCTAGAACTGTAGAACCGCTGAATGGTCGGACACATGTTCATCCATGGCAGTACTTCCACTATTTCTAACTGTTGAAGACTGGTACTTAAGATTAGGTTTCCTGTTGATAAAGACTTCACACGGTCTACAACATCATTTTTACATCATTTTAGGGAAGACAGAAATCCCATTTGTCGCTGAGGGCAATGTTTTACCTCTCGCCTTCGGTCCATGTTAGCCATTAGTGTGTGGAAGCCAGTTGGGCCGTCCCGCTACTAAAGCATAACAATGGCTTCTTGCTGGGACATCATCCTTAATGTTCACCAGGTCGCGGCCAATGTTAGCGTGCACTTGGACTTTCATATGATTAGGAAAAATCAGAAAAAGTTGTCTCTTAGTTGAGAATGTTGGGGGAACGGGACATGCCAACTACCTTTCGAAGTATTTGAAGAGGACCAACTTTTTTGTGAAGGTGCTTTTTTGTGAGTGATTATTTTTCTTATGCTTACTCGACTCTAAGAACGCTAGAAACATCCGATAACATTGCTTCCGTAAGGAATGAACTACTAAGAATCAGTTTCAATTTCCCATTTCGGATTGTAAGGTTTTAAAAAGGACCTCCCATGGAAAACATGCTTCCTTTGCCTATGAATTCATTTTGAAATTGCACCAATGGTTTAACTAAAATTAACAGAAACAAGTAACCATTGAAGAGTAGGAATCATAATGATATGGGAAAGAAAAAGTTTCCAAACTTTTGACGCGCCATTGCTTGGAAAAAATCTTATTTCTCGAATATGGTCATAGTTTTTTGGAAATTGTTCTTCCTGTCGTATTCTTGGCTCGATTTTGTATGGAATATCTAAATTTGGGACAATTTCGTTGTGTGTCGCCCGCACTACGTCGAAAATAAAAAAGTTTCCAAATTTTTGCCCGCTACTGTACATATACTCGTAATCAACTAATTTCACTTGTTTTAAATTTATATTTCACTTGTACGTACTGCGATGAAAAGGAAGCACTCAGTGACAGGGTAAACCACGACGGTGCTAGGATTTTTTTTGACTACGTCCCTCTATCCATGTAGGGCCAACGGTTCATACGAGCTGGTCAGGGGAGGAGAAGGGCGCATTTTATGATTTCGAAGGGCTTTTTTTTAGCAAAATGGACTTCTACTCCTGAAGTACATATAGACACCGTGGTAGAAAGCAATTTTTGAGAACTTATATTGAACAGAAGTTTAGGCTCAACAGCTGAACTTAATATTCCCTGAGTGGGTGGCATGCGTTTGTGCCTAGGAGTGCGCATTTCTAAAATCACGTGACAAGTCCTAGAATCACAGCCCACCTTTCCATAGTCCTAGACACAACATGCCTTCTGTCGGGCCGAGTGGGCCCGCCAGGGGCTGTAAGGTATGCTTCCCCCGTAGGGTTGGGGGACGAAAGTCCCTTTAAATGTTTTGTTTCGAACGATACTGCTTCTTCATTTTCAGTGCATGTTTACTTTAACCTACATACATACATCAAATGTAAGCCCTTTATCAGAACAATCCCAGTTGGGAAGACAGAGAAAATTTAAAGGGATTTTCGTCCCCGAACCCCTCGGAGAAGCATACCTTACGGCCCCAGGAGGGTGACGGTAAGAGACCCGAAAACACTTCCGTTAGAGTCGCTCGGATAATAAGCGGCGTACAACGGTGTCGTCTAGCTCGTCAAGACAAGAAGCTTCTATGTGGGAAACGGACAGAGGCTGGAATTCCCATTCTGCAAACTCTGGAAGGCACAGTCCAGGATTGGTCAGTAGAGTGTAGCTCTAGCGCGAGAAACGGAGCGATCGGCAAGCACGGCTCCACCGACCTTGCGGTACAAAAATGCATCAGAATGCTTAGGCTAGGTTTCAACAAGGGATCCTATTCACTGCGCTCACACGTTGGCGTGAAAAGCCAAAACTGTTCTCGCTTAAACCCATGCTCTCTCGCCACCGATTGCTTGCTCCCTCAACAGCACAGGAAATCGCTTGTATCGTTGTCTGCTTAGGGCCTCCCTAAAACCTTGGAGAACTGGGCCTTTCGGGAGATTCCTTTTTCTTTTCGTCTCACACCACTCGTACTTTCTCTCACTTTCTCTCAACCGCAATAGCACACCAGCTTTATCTAGGTTGTGCCTGTGAGACAGTGGATTACTTCGAGAACCTCATTTACGATATTAACTTGCGCGATTGCCGAGTTCAGCAGCTCGTTTCTTGGTAAGACGTGACCGTGGGGCGTTGATGAGGACCCGCCCTCCGTGACAATACACTTTGACGTGGAGCTCGATAAGGCAAGGTTTCATTCTTATCAATTGATTCCTTGATGCGGCGACTAGCAAAGCACTTTCACGGATCTCCTCCAGATGCTCGAACAAATTTTTATTTGAAAATTTTTTTTCATGCACGGGGAGTACGCCTTCTTGCTAACTTATTGACATTCTCATCAGGTGGGAAGATCAGAGCCCATCGAGAGTTGGAAACTTCAAAATCCCACGATCTGCGCAATGGAAAGGATTGCGCTCTTGCACGTTGATCCCTAGATGAGCATCCTTTAGTAGGTATTGATTTCATCTGAGCCGTTATACGCAGCCACTCAGCGTTTATTTGCTAATAAGGATTTTAAGGCTAACTGGTGTCAATGAATGACCACTGCCTCTCATGCATGGTTTTTGGGACGATAAGTACTATTTTTCACCCTATTGACAAGAAGAATGCAATTCCACTGTCGTATGTTATTCAGATATTGTTCGAAATTCGAAATACCTACGAAATACACACTTGTTAACAAGAGCATATAAGCACGGGTGCGAATCGAGTTGAGGAATTTTTTTCGAAAGTGAATGCAGGGATGAGAAATGGATCTACATACACTGAAAGAACGAAAGAAATCGTCGACAAGACTGAAATCAAAACTCCCTCCTCCGAGCGAAGGAGGCAAGCTCAGGAGCAAGGCGTGTCTGGACGATTTTCTGGACATGCCAACCATCTAGCCCGGCTAGCTGTCGATGCGCTGAAAACGCACCCTAACCAGCTACATAATCTCCCACCATACGCAGCTACGCGCCGCCCTCCCTCGCTGGGCGGTGATAACCTGCGCCAGATGGCCACAGTCCCAAATATTGAGCCAGGGGTGTTATTGATGCGCACTCTCAAAACAAGAGCGCTTGATCTCCTATGTGAACAGGCCAAAATCCTCTCATGTCCCTACATGATGAACCATTAGGTTGTTTTTGTCTGGCTCAACCTCAAACTCAAGTGAGACTCGGTGCTAAGGAACATCATATGATTTTCAAACTATTCGCTGGCTCCGCTTGTCATCACCAGCAGAACCC